AGTCAAAGAAAAAAAAAATTGGAAAAATTATGAACCAATTAAGAAACAGGATGCATACTTGCATTCCTTCAGGATCTGCTTGCCAGTTTAATTATAAAATATGCACAGGCATACGTCTTTACACAGGAAACTGTGGGCGTGTGGATTAAACTGTCCCGCCGATTCTTTGGGAACACCGCTACAGGAGATGTGGGGGGTAAATAAGATGCTACTATTTAAGCACAAAAGGGCTCAGTGGCTTAAACTGTAACCTGTGTCGCAAGTTAGCAACATGTGGGAAGGTCACCCAAGAGTACTGTCTCAACCATACAATAGTTTTCTGTCAATCTCCTTCCAGCACTGGGTGAGCTCTTACATGAGAATCAGCATGACTGACAGGCTGGATTAGGCGATGCTTAAGCAACGCGCCACTCTAGTATTAGTCACAGAGATTGTCATTTGGAAGTGAATCCCTGCTTTGCTTGCTGTGAGAATTCAAAGTTAAAGATGTGGCCGAGAGCCCGCTTACTGGAGTACAAACACACAGCCAATACCTGCAAGCAGGGCTGTGCTGCTCCAGCCTCGGGCCCTGTGCAAACGTCTCCGCCCCAGCTGCCGTCTTTAGCAGCAAGACCTGCTGGCAATTGGATTTAATGCCCCAGTTCCACGCAGCCCAACCGCTGGGTTCCTTCGGCTGCTTTGCAGAAACGGAAATATTTCACGCTTCAGAGACAACATGGCTTGCAGATTAAAGCCTCCCAGCGCTGTATGTTCTCCCGAGAAAAGAAAATCCTGAATGGATTTCAAAGAAATAAGAAATACCTACTTAGTATCGCTTAAAATATAAAGCTTTTACAATTAAAGCAAATCCATTGTCAACGGTTAAGGAAGACATACAAACACATGCCCATCTGGTGTTTTCACAATTAAAAAGCCTTTTGCTGTTCATGAATGAAGTTCTCACACTACATATAGAATACAGCTTTTAATTTCCTTACAGACTAATTTTCCAACTTTCATATACAGAACTGTTTCCAAGACCCAACCCAAAGTTTGATACAAACATTTGATAGGATAAACGTTTTGGCTGGTATTTTCTCCTGTGCAGACATTATGAAAGTTCAAATGTCATGTGTCACTTTCCAGACCAGCATACTCCACCATTCTTGTTCTTCTGGCGCTGTGCAGGAGCAATACCTGCAAAGCAGAGTCCTGAGAAACTGGCAATTCCAAATACAAATGTATACTGTATTTGAAATACCAGCGAGCTTTCAGTACGCATTTTCAAGCTAACATTCTGTACATTGTGAAACTTATTCACCAACTAAAATGTAGGACCACAAATGGCAACAATTTGAGCAAATAAAGAAGTACTTGTTCGGGAACCCTTCCTTCTCCAAGTTGATATCGATCTCCTCTTTACCCCCCTTGCTCACAGCGTGGAGGCTGAAATAAAGGAACTGCCATTGTAAACCACCTCTTAGTGAAGAGCTGTTAGCAATTGCAGATATAAGATAACCTCCTTGGAAGAGAAAAGCACCCAGGTTCATTACCAATCAGCACAAACAAGAAGATATCAGCACCAAACGCTTGCCCTTCAACCTTGTGTCCCACTGCAGCGTTCGCTGAATAATCAAGTGCACTGCATGGCGAGCAAGGGCATACCAGACAAGCTAGGAACCACGATCTGAATAAGGAGCAGCTTATTACTTTTGAAAGAGACCCTCAAGACCCTCATCATGGGGACCTTAAACAGGACTCTGCTCGGGAAAAATAAATGAGGACTGCACACACACACACACAAATAAACTGAACAGTTTGCAGACGACTGCTTTGAAGCAATGGGAGCAGACGCATCTCTCCCCACACACAAAAAATTGGTTGTTTTTTTTTTTAAGTGAAAGGAGCTGCTTCAGACCCATTTGGGATTATTTTGGTATTTCACTGATCCACTACTGTTAAAGGTTGTCAGGATCATTAGCACTTACTTTCCTTCCATTATGACCCAGGGGATTACGCCGAGCTGGATTTTGAATGCTCTGCTCACGTAAATCATGACAGACTACATCGCCCCTTGGAGAGCGACGGCGCAAATTGTTTTTCTGAGAAACCTTGCAACCAGAGAATAGGCAGTGAGGGGGAAAACAGCAAGTCTGTCAACACCAGAAGCTTGAAACTGCAAGTTAAGAAAAACACGCACAATATTCAAATAAGAAACAAGGGAGGTATTGGCCATCACGTCTTGCTAGTTTCTGTGAAGCACTGCAATAGGTTCTAGCTGTTTTTATTGCGTCACCTAGCAATTACTACTCTGTTATAATGTGGAAATTCAATTTATAGCAGTCACTGTACAATGACTACTTTTTTATGCTTTAAAAAAAACTTATTTTTAAAAGAAAGGACAAACAACCCTTTCAACCCTTTTCTGGCAGCCTGTTTTGTTAGTGTGGATCATTTCCGGCTTTCTAGGATTTTTCAGGAAAAAAAACAACTCTTCAAGCTCAAGATAGATGCACTCACTATCCAAGTCCAGTTGCACAAAAATGGGTGGAGAGAGCTACTGAGATCGGAACAAATTTTTCTACAATCGGGGGTTCATTATGAATGTTGGGAGCTCAGGTCCAGGTTTCTGAGAGCAAAAATGACAAACTTTGATCATCATTACTGTATGTAAATTAGAGGTAAAAATTTCAGACAATTAGAAGTGTTCATTTTATACTACGGCTTTGGCTGAATGCAAATTCTGTGACAAAAGGGACAGGTGCTGAGAAAAGGTGGAGAAACTTTTCCCTTGAATAGCAAAACATTACCAACATGGTATACTGTATTTGGACAGTACCACTCCATCTTACAGTAGCAAGAACGAGGGTGAGAATCAAAGTCCTACCTTTTGGGATTTCCAAAGTGACTGATTAAAAAAAACAACAGAAAACAGGACCTGCCACCTGGGCACTTTTCGTGCACTTTCCGGGGAAGCTGTTCATGAAGCCATTTTTTGGGGGATGTGCGACTACAGTTAGCTGCAGAGGGCTATCATGCAGCGAAGCATCAAAGCCCTGGAGAGATGAGAAAAACGACAAAAGCGGGAGATACCTTTCTCCTCCTGGAAAGGGAAAACGTTCCGGAGAGGAACCGAAGCTACAAGGGTGATGCAAACGAGAAAACACCTGGGCAAAAGCACCATGGGGAAAACGCACACTACAGAAAATGAGAAATGTTACACAGTGTAAACAGGGAAGGTGGGGGGGTGGATTGTAATTTTTTTTATTGTACACATGGCTGGTGTCTTAATGGCAATGACTTTGGCAACCATCTACTCAGACTGAAAGTAGTCATTTATGGTATATTTCTTTTTATTGGGCCTTATACCCGAAGAAGGCTCCACAGCCGAAACTTTGCGTTTTCTTTCTTCTCTTTTCAGCACGGAATAAACCTCTTACTTGTCAACTGGAAATGTTACATTTTGTACATATACAGTATGATCAGTTTACCAAACCTGCAACGCATGCTAGAAAATTACAATTCACTGGCTAGTTCCTCTGATCACGAGGTGTGTTCCTAGAAATGAGGCAAACAAAGTGACTCTTTGAGGAAATCATTTACCCAGGACTGCCTCCAGTCAGCCTGTGTCACATGCAAAGCTTCAGAAAGCCTATGGAAGACTCATACCATCTACCCCAGCTCTCACCCCAACACTGCTTCAAGACCAATCAGACAAGAAAAAAGATCACAGTCACAGTGTTTCAGTGCTGCGTTCCGTTACTTCATCACCTGTAACAGAAGCTGAAAACCACCCCAAATCCATTTAGCCACGTCTGCATTTTTTTAACATTAAACATAACTCTTGCTTAACAAAAGAACTCCGGTGACAAGACTGAAGTTAATTAACCTTGTTATGCAGTATGATTTCAGAGAAGTCATTTTGCTAAACACAGTAAAAAAAAAAAATGAAAATGGAAGAGATGGTCATGGCGATGGTGATGGTGAGGAGAACCCCAGTAGGTACAGCACGGTATGACTCCAGGACAGAGGCTCTGTAGGCAGGGCTGGCTAGTGCTGAGCACCGAGCAGCATCGTTCACTGAGCGAACAGCTCCTACAATCACCGCGGCTCACTGTGGGGAGGCCAGCCGAGCTCGGTAGGTACAGCTTGACCTACCCAGGTTCCTCCGAATCCGAACGTACACGGTCAGATTTGACGAAAACGCGAATCGGCTGCTTAATTCAAAACAGGACCTCAGAATCGAGCGAGTAACACAGGATTCCCTTTTTGATGCTTTCTATTTTATTTAGTCCCCAGAATGACCCACAGATTGAGCCGTTAATCAACGCATAATGTCATATACCTGGTCTCACATCCTAAGTTATAGGTCATTAGGCAGCAGAGTTACCACCTTGTAGCTGTATGTCATTAGACCTGGGAGGCTCAGCCAGCACGGGATAGGAGAGAGCCAGGGAAAACCAGATGGCTGCTGTAAGGCGAGTTGGGGGACCAGTGGAACGTGCTCGTCCCCAAAATGAGCTTCTCAATATTTGGTAACTAAAGATCCAATGGCACCATTTATAAGAGAAGGGATATTAACCCTGGTGGTTACTGCTAAATTCCACTCCACATTAAGGTACCAGAGACAAGAGTGGGGTTGTACAATGGTGAAACCATTTCTCACTTCTCCACCTGATCTGCTGTGAAGTGGGGCTGCTCGTGTATAATGGCTGCAGCACATCACCCAGGTGAAGCTACACTTTAGTGGCAGATTAAATGCCACATAAATTAGTGTCTCTCTTTGGCTCCTAAATGGAAATGCACCCTTTAAAAAAATGCCTATTCAGAAATTTAGATTTGCAAATCTTTTCACCCAGAGCCTTCAACGATGTAAACATTTTGAGATGCAGATAAAAATGAGCTGCACGGTACGAGAAAATATCTGTCTGACGTGTGCGCGGCCTCATTCCAATTACTGCAAAAAACGTGGGGCCTAGAATCACCTGCCTTTCCCACTGTGCAACCTACCCACTTCTCACCTGTATTTTAACAGCGATTACCACCGAGCTGAGGTCTTTATCCAGTTCTTTAAGGACGATCAGCTTCTTCAGGGTGAGACTGCATAACCTGCAAAGAGAGAACAAGGAGAAATTCTAGTGCCGTTCACCACGTGTGCAGAGATCCATCAGTGACAAGAACAGGAACGCTGTTCAGCAAACTCCCACCGTTCAGCTGGAAAACTTGCATCAGTCTGCGGAATAATTATGTGCGAGAAGGAAAAATATTTGAAGGCACAGGAAAAAAAACTGTGCGCTGGCCGTCACAGATCAGTAAACACTTGAAACCAATACCTCCTTCTCTTCTACCCATGTGAACTTCACTTTACACTGCACCCTCTAATGGATTCAAACAGATTCTCTCTCTTCACCTGGCAACACTGCTGGTCTATTATTAGTGGCACTTTCAAGGTGAATCTGTGTGCTCCAGATGGGGGACAAATAAACAAAGGATGTGACATTTTCTCTGAGCAAGGCGTTCAAGTTTATTGTGTGCAGTGAGCATAGCAAAAGCTTAACTGCGCAAGAAAACAGTAAACAGAAAAGTGCTGGACTGGCACCTTGCTCCTTCTCTCTGCCCCTTCGTGACCTCTTCCTGCTTCTCGCCGGGGGAGGGGTGGGGGGGTGTCTAGTCATGAGTCCGACAAAGCAAGGGATGTGCATGACAAAGTAGCCCAGGCTGAGAACGCACTAACTCCCCCCCAGACCTAGACAGCACAGAGACCCTTGCTTTTCATTACACGATTTTGAGTGATGGTAGCTTAGGACTGTCCGATAGAAATTCAGTTCAGAGGTTCTCCGATCTCAGAGTTCAGGTTTCTTTTCTGCTTTAATAACTCACAACTTTGGGGTGGTGCGTTAGCTCAGTGGCTAAGGATCTGCGCCTGTGGCTGGAAGGTTGCCGGTTTGTATCCCGCGGCCAGCAGAGGAATCCTACTCCGCTGGGCCCCTGAGCAAGGCCCTTAACTCCAGCTGCTCCAGGGGCGCCGTATAAATGGTTGACCCTGTGCTCTGACCCCCAGCTTCTAATACATGAAATTGTATATGGCCAATAAAGTGATCTTATCTTAAAAAAAACAGCAGTCATACTACTGTACCTCCACTGAGGTCAGCCCACTTCCCCGTTCATTTTCTCCCCAGTGCAAAACAAACCTAGAGAAGAAAGAGCTGAAAATGCTTTCAAAAGCAAGGCAATTGCAAGCCTCTGAAAGTCTAAATACGAAAATCAAGAGCTGTATCTTGAGTTGATCAGGTTGCAGTTCCACAGATGTGCGACTGTCAAAGGCAAATTAAGTTTAGCGTGAAAAGAATGCTGGTAATTTCTTCACAGCCTTTGGTTCTGCGTGCATCCATCAAACCTCAAAATAATCTCAGGAACAAAGCAGCTGTCACACTCGACACCCATCCAAGATGACTATGACTCAATCCTCCACCAGATTTCAATTTAATCAATTCGGGAGACAAAAATCAAATCCGAAGGACAGTAAACAATGAATGGTGCACTAGCCAAGCCAGACAGCTAACAGGCACCATAAATAGAAAATCGATTGCACAAAAGAGATATTTAAAAAATAACAGTTGAACATTGGTTTAAAAATCGAAACCTTTCAGTGTGAGGGCACAAAAATAGCATTTCACAAGTCAGTGCTCATTTCACCTAACCAGGGGACAATTCAACTCAGCAGGGGACAGAAACATTTGCATGCAATTTGCTATTAATCCCACACGTCTTGTGCCAACAGCTCCTCGGCTTCCTGCTTTGTTGAAATGAACATTTTAGATGGCTCTCCACCTTTTCTTATTTCAGAACAAGTCTTGTTTTAACTTTTCCACTGACCACCGAATACAAGAAGCATCGTCACGTGTTGCCCTACGTCTCTCCTACAGCGGGTCCTCTTTGCGCCTCCTGGCGCAGAGCTATTCATTCACAGCACCTGGTCTGTGAGCACAGCAGGCCTGGGAATCTAAAGAGCTGTGATGTGTGGACTGAACAGGGCAGTATCTCTAAGCATGAGCCCTTGAAGGAAAATAAAAAGGGAGGCACAAAGATCTAGATGGGCTTGAGACCCACTGGTGCATCAGGGCACCTCCTACTTTCGATTTTATTTTCTGGGGCATCTTAAAGCTGGGCTTGAGACTTTTGTTTTTGTGGACTCCAGGCACAGTGCATCTGGAGTATTTCTCTCGCAAACAAATTCTCTCACAAATGTTTCCACTTACGTCAACGGACACTTGCTTGTTAGCTAATTTTTGGTGACCTAGTTACAATTCCCTTGGCTGCTTTAACAAAAAAAAAAAAACAACAAACCTCTAAGTTGGGTTTATTTTCTTAAGCAACCTGGAATGTGGTGCTACTGTGCGCCTTTAACAAAATCAGACCTGGACCAACACTTGCATTTGGCTGCAGGTTGTCAATGACATGCCAGCACCAATCAATTCAACTGTTTGAACTACAGATCTAATACAGAACAGTGGTGAGCAGCGTTGTTTTTACCAGCTCAATTACACTGTAACATGTCCAGTTTTGCTGACAGCAACAGTACAAACTCTTCACTAAATTGGACTGTACTACTGTAGATAACTCCTTCCGGTCACTTTTGAAACCCAAGCTTGAGGAGTCCCCTCTCAACGGGTTAATCATTCAGAAAAAGTCACATTGAATCCATTTGTTTTGCACCTCGCATTGGCTGAAAATCACAAAAAACTAGGTCGCAAGTAGCTTATTGGTCCGACTACACAAATCAGGCAGTTTCTGGAGGATACCGGAGAATCTGATTCAGTAACATGGCTGGGCAGTCAGTTCCAGACCTCCACAACCCTTTGTGTAAAGAACTACTTCCTGACTGGAGTCATAAAATGCACACTCCCTCTTAAGTTTCTACTTGTGTCCTTGGATTCCTGTTTCACTCTTTACCCCAAGGCAGCCGTCTGGCTTAACTTTAATATTTGTTTAAAGTGCCCTTGTAATGTCCTCTGTTCTATGAGTAAAGAAACTCACTTCCGTTAACCTCTCTGTGCAGGACCTTCCTTTCAGTCCTTTTCTACACATTTGGTGAACAAAACTGTACACAGTGTTCCGGAACTGTGTAGAACAGCACTTTCTCCCTGGGAATTCTTCGTGTCAGTTCTTCACAAAGAACTGTTCTAGATATTCTAGAATGCTTGTCAATCCAGGCTATTCATATCTTACAGGAACTCTAGAACTCTATCAGTGCTTAACCTCATTAGTTAGGTACCATCATCCTGCCTGTCAGACTTGTTTCACCCCACTGTCTCACCGATGATCCAACACCCCTGACTACTGTCCTTACATTAGCAGGCAAAGGCAGACTGAAGACAGAGCTTCACTTCTGGTCTCCTGTTTCCTTATCACAAATACTAGAAAGGTCATCACCACCATGCAGGAGAGATAGCTGGAGGTCTAAATAAATGGTTTGTTCCATTTGGAGATCAATAACTCACCTCAAGACAGGCTGGATGGGCAACTGTCATTCAAGCTACATCCCGCATCAAAATATTAATCTCTCAATTCAAGCTGAAAACCTGGTTTGCATAGCCCAACAGCCCCACACCCAGAATAAAATATTTGAAGCGTTTTTCTGCTCTTCCTCTTCAAAGTGAGCACATTCCCACTGCTTGACACGATCTGCACAGAGTCCAGGGCCATTCTGCCAGGCGTGTACTACAGATTTCTGCCCTACAGGGCTGCGTACCTGTTCCCTTTTTGTGTTAATAAAAAAAAGTGGAAGATCAATTTATTTTAAATAGCAGCGATGCAAAAAAAGTCCAAATGTAAAAAGATGTGAGGATCTACACCTGTGGCTGGAAGGTTGCCAGTTCAAATCCCACGGCCGGCAGAGGAATCCTACTCCGTGGGGCCCCTGAGCAAGGCCCTTAACCCCAGCTGCCCCAGGGGTGCCGGATGAAGTGCTGACCCTGCGCTCTGACCCCAAGCTTATCCGAGTGCCTGTCTGTCTCATGGAGAGCAAGCTGAAGTATGCGAAAAGACAAATTCCTAATGCAAAAAAATTGTTTATGGCTAATAAAAGTGATCTTATCTTATCCAGAGTCTGAGTACTGACTTTAAGATCCCCAGTGCTTGTTTCTGTTGCTTCTAACGTAAACCAGGTTCTCAGTTGGAGACCTTTTTGGACCTCTAGTGCTGGAGCAGAGTGGCCAGTCTGTTCAATCAGACAGTAACACTCCTGGTGCTGTAAGGCTGCCAGCTGGGTCAGCACAGCCCTGGTTTTGCTCCTGTGCTCCTTCTGAAGCAACAGCATTTCACAGCAAGCCAGCACGTACTTTCATACTGAAAGGTTCTCTAAAAAAAAAAAGACAGGAACCCTAATCTCGTTTGTCCATCTGGGGAGGATTTAGTTATAAAGATTTTGCATTCAGGCCAGAAAAAAACCCTGCAAATGCACTGTATAATCACAAAAATACTGAAGACATTTTACATCTATGTCCAGTATTTTAAGAAGAAAAAAAAAATCTCACGAGGGAATATACATAGGTGAGCCATCTGTTTCGTAGTTGATAAGAAGTGGAAAATAAAAATCCTTTTCAGTCAGTTTATATACAACTTTCATAAACCACTGTGATCTCAGTAGCTTGTATGGATCCAAACAACTGTACTGCCTACTCCACAAATAGTTTTACTTCAAAATCATTCAACTTTAGTCTTTTCTTCAAGCTGTTTAGTATTCTGCTACTTGCAAGTTGGTTCACACTATGAAAATTAGGACATGCCTTTCTTTGATAAGATCCAATGCTATGCATCAAGATCCATTAATGCATAAAATTATTGGTGTCTCAATCCATGGCTTTGATTTGAATTGGGAAACACGTGCTTTTGATACACTCATTAATAGATATGCTTCAAAACTGCAAAAGTACCAAGTAAATTTTACTGGAAATTGGAAGAACGTATTTTATCATTTATTTCTAAAGACCTTCAGATGAAATTTTATTAGAGATGCTGAACAGACATTTCAGGTTTACAAAGCAGCACAGTCAAACCTGCCTGCAAATCGTGTGATAAACCGAGACTGCTATCTGTCCTCACAAACA